CGTTTTCCAACCACTTCCGTTGATGATTTCATGAAGGTAAAAAAAATTTAATTAATTTTAATAAAGTGAAGTGTCTAGTTTGAAACTCCTGACTAGTGTATACCTACGGCCCTCTACAACACGTGTACTCACTACGAGCAAGCGGTGGGGGCGTCGATTTAATATGAGAGCTAGGAAGTGTACATTCTTAAGAATCCTCTAAGAAGAAACAATTATATCCTGCGCTATTTGATTTTTAATGATCCATGTTAAAAACTACATCCAAACTACTCAAACTGACTTATTTCAATTCAATGTTCATTTTAAAAAAGTTGTTAATTATTATTTATGATCTTTGTGAGAAGTAAAACAGACATCTACTTGTAACCTATACAAAAAAAAAAGTAATTTACTTTAAGTGATTGGTTTGAATATTGTCTGCTAAAGAAATGATATGGTCATTTGAAACTGTAACTTAACGTTGATCAATTAAACTGTCTTCACCTCTCATAGATACGTTTTAAAAAAAAACGCTTTCTTTACAGTTGAATACATCTTTTCCTATACAACAAAGTATTCTATTAGCTAACATGCAATAACAACAAAGTATTAACTGATCAACTTGTTTAAAATCAAAGTTCATATTTATTATTATTTTTATTCATGGAATAGTTGATCATTTGACCTTATTGACTGAATAATTTTTAAAGTAAAAACAAAGAAAACTTTTTCATCATCATACACTTATGACCTCAGATACACATTGTGTGTCAGATTAAATTATATATATATATAGTTGTATAGTTGTTGATATATGTAATAACCTGTTACTAAGTGTTGATTCTTCTTCTCTATTAACGCTATAACGATAGAATAACAATCTATTATGTAAAATATAATGGACAAAATAGAGTGATAGCAACAAATCATTATTAAGAGTGATATGTACTCATGTAAATCATCTTTATTTTTAAACAGATGATCAGTATTCAAAAACTGGAGAAAAAAAACAGGGGATTGTGTGTTACACGCATTTTACTCTCAATTCTAATGATGATTACCTAATTTTGTGTTTCATGTTTTTATTCAGTGTGTAAAATATGAGATCATGAAAAAAGGTTAAAAGATGTAAGGAAAACCATCATTTTTCATTGTTCAATAACAGTTGTTAAATATTTAACATTATCAACTATTTCTCTATTCATTTAGTGGATCAATGTGTTGCATACAAAAATAAGTTGTCTACATATTTCTTATATGAGCCCGTCACTGTAAACCATGTCAACTTCATAGGTGAAAAAAGCAAAGAAATTGAGAGTTGGAGTTTGAAATAAATTCATTAGTGAAAATTATGCTCTCACATTCAGTATTCACTCAATAAATGAACAGGGAAATGCCCGAAAATGCTTGATACTACTGAACATGTATTGAACATGGAAAAATGGATGCGCAACAAATTCACAGGCATGTATCCCTTTCCATGAAAAAGACATAGTGAAGACAGAAGAAATTATATACCTGAGATCCTGTCTTTAGGTGATGTCAATAATTTATTCATGTAGTTGGTTCTCAGTCACACACCGATTGTCTAAGGGTTAGAACGATACTACCTAGCCTCTGTCTAACTGAAGTAAATGTTCAATTCTACTACCTGAAAATTAAAAATTAAGTATTTGAATTAAACCATCCACCGACTAAAAAAGTAATTATGTTGCCAATTACACAGTAGTAATTACTTTCTACTAGTTAACCGCCAATTCAAGTAACTATGTAATTTGGAAATTTACTATTCTACTCAATCTTCTATACTGAAAATCACCATGTCTTAACTGGTAACTAACTTCTAGAGGCAATTCACAGAGTTCTAGTGTGAAATCACGATCATTGGGGTTCAACACATACCAAGTATCAAATAAATAACATCAATGGCAGTGAATGGTCCTTCGTTGTAACTGACTGACTGACTGAATGGTAGTGACATAATATGAAAAGCTGACTGAAATTAGAAATGTAAACAATTCGACGCTAACTCAGTGACCTGGAGATTAGACGCTCTCCAGGAAAGTTTGAAGTTTCTGGGGTTTGTCTCCTCCCAGGTAGATTCATAGGTGCTTGTTACCAATGAGGAGTCGTATAGTAAAACGAAACACTTGTTCAGTAATTCATGGTTTTCAATAGTCGTCTAACTAAAAGTCATTCGATGAATTAAATTTAATAGTCTTCACTATTCCGTCGTTGAATCACATTACTTATTCCTAATATTTTCTTACTATCGTTGTATACCATCGCTACTTCTACTTCTCTAGGACTTGTCTTGATATTTTCATCTCTTGTATCGATGTGGTGTGATAACTTCAAGTAATGTACATAATTTGGTAGGTTCTATGTTGTGTATGATTGGATGATACAGGTTATTTCTAAATGAATATTTGCTAGTACTTCAATGAATAGTTTCAGAGAACATGAACAACAAAGAGCGTCCAATTTTTTCAACTTCAATACATCGATAATGTCAAGTTAATTTGCTTTAATTTGGAGACAATTGAATAGTATGACTACTGCACTTGCATCAAACGTGTAACTCAAAGAAGCCCTGTGTATATACAAACTTCGATTATAATCTGAAAAGTTAAGCATACTATTTAGTTTTCAATATTTCTACATCATATATCCAATATTATATTTTCTGAAATTGATCAACGACAAACACATAAATGTTTGTCACTTCTCATATCGTGGAAAACAGTGCAAATGATGTTGGTTATTCATTATAAGTCTATTTGGAATCTTAATGTATAATCGTTGTATTTTGTGAGTGAACACATACCATATAATTCAATGCTTCCAGTTTTTCCTCGGAAGAGTTTAACAAATGATGGTGGTAACAACGTATAAATTATTATTATCTTTATGGAATAGATAAATCATGACTAGCAGTAGGATGAAAGAAGTGCATTTCGTCCTACTAAAGACTCGTCAACTAGATTCACCTGCCACATACCAATGTTGATTTCAACAAAGACTGGTCAAAATTCATTCCTAAATATCAACAACAGAATATATCAAATCTTTATTATGAATAATAATAGTTTTAGATTATTTAGAATGGGAAATGAACATGAAACTAGTCAACAATACAATTTAACAAGCGAATATCAATTAGTAGATTGACCACTGAAATCCTGTTAACTGTGTAACGAGTAATAAAAAAATAACACAACTGAACGATGCACGACTCAAAGCAGAGACATTGAAACGAAACGTTAGCAAATTGAACTAATCTCATCAACTATTACAGTTCATAGGAAATTAGAAATGTGACACGTGGATGCATTGTATTCCATAACATGAAAATTGTAAGTCAAAACGTAACCCCATTTATCTACCAATCACAGACGTCTATGTGTATTCTAATCTTTGAACTAGACTTTATGGAAAAGGTGGCAATACCAAATAGTGATTTAAATGGAAGTAGCCGAAGAGTGGTTCGAACCTTAAACTAAGTTATCAAAAAGCCGAACAGATTTAGAAATCTAAACGCCGAATAAAAGATAGTAACAAAAAAGTGTACAGAAAAAAACCAGTACAGAGAACATAGTTCGCGAAGAAATTGATGTTATCGATGAATAGAAATTAAGCAATAATCACAAGAAATTGCAATTTTAAAAGAATTCCCAAAAATAAAATAAATTTGATCCTTAACGATCAATCTCAAGCCATCATTAAACTACGACCCTTAATTATAGATTATGATTACTTGGAGAACACTAAACAGAACAGGAGTAATAATAAAATGTGTGATAATGAAAAAACCCACCCATTTGTTTAAAGCTGTATCACGATGAAATTAAATATGTTCAAATTCGTGTTACACAGTGAGCTCAACTTCACAACACTTAAAACGACAAATACTAATACTTATATTCTATTCACGTTGCAAAGTTGGTTAGAATAAAGTTTGGTATGTGTAAACTAAATGTGATATCAATCCAGATATCGCTGCCTGTTAGGTCTGAGCCATATCGGAAGTTAGGGTGAGGTTGAGAACTACCCAGTTGGGGCTCGAGGAACAAACAATACTAATAAATGGTCGGTTGTAGTGGAGTAGTAGTGACTCTTTTTCTTTTCTTAAGTAACAAATCTGAATATTTTCTCATAATTTTATTTCACGAATCCACGATTTCTTTCCAAACTATGTTCTCTATGTCTAACTGTTTTTAGCATTATCATTGATATTATTATTATTATTATTTTAACTTCTTTACTATTTCATCATGTTGATTTTATTTCGCTGTGTTATTGGATTGGGAATGTGGGCTGATTTACAATTTTAATACGTTCTACATCAATTATTTCTTATTGTGCAATGAATTGCTTCATGCATTTTACTAACTCACTACATCACAAAATACACTTAGATACATTGCTGCATTACAAACAATATAAAATTAATTATTCAAAGGGATTTTTGTGAAGATTGATTCAAGTTGTAGGCGATGGTCATCACAGTTGGGGTACAGTTGGAAATCGGAGAATACTGGGTAGTTGTTTCATCCTAGCATAAAACTCGGTAGGAATGTGTACACAGAAGTCCACTAGGGATTAAACACAAGATTTTTAGATCTCACAATGAATGTAAAACTCTTAAATCCATTTGGCTAGTGTTCAACGATATAATTAGAACTCCGATCAATTTACGATGTAGTAAGAGTAATACAATTCCACTGGTGATAACTGTCTCAATTCCCGACCCGACAGAACTCTACCAAACATTACTCACTAGAACTTAAGAAACATCTTGAAGTAGATCATCACTAGTGAGATATCGTAGAATCAGTTGACTAGTTGTAGATAACTAAACCTACGGTCATATTCATACATGGTTAGGAGTAACAATTATCTAATACTTCATTTACTGCAATGAACTTCTTAAACAGTGAAATATTTTACAACAAATATTAGCTATTTAAAGACAAGAATTCTAAACTAATGAAAGGTGTAATTGAATAAAAATAACTTACCAGAATTGTGACTTTCAGATTTAATTTGCAAACATAAACTAAGATCTAATGGAGATTCAAAATAATCATTTGAATTATTAGATAGATCTGATTTGACTGAGTGTACTGATGAACAGCGACCACCACCGTTTCCACCGCCACCAACATTAGCATTGGGACCCGCTGTCAGTGGCATAACTGAGGATGAAAATGACAATTTATCATTTTTATTATTATTTTTTATAACTGAAATATTGTCGTGCAATCCACAACTAGTTGTTTGAGGGTGCTGAGGCATTGGAAGAGTAGACTGTAGCGGCAGTGGTGGTGGAGGAGGAGTAGTAGTAGATGCTGGCATCAAACCAGCTTGTCGAAGTAATAGTGCAGCTGTTGTATTCAATGATGATAGATTATTAAAGGGTGCTGTTGTGGAAGTTGTACATACACTATTGTTATTGTTTCCGGGAATAGGTGACAAAGGCATTGTACAACCGCCATTTGTAGCAACTGCGGCAACAGCTGCCGCGGCTGCCGCTGCCGCAATTAACGGAGAAGCTGATGATGCTGTTGATGACGAGTTATTCATTGTCACTGGTGAAGTAGTCGGTGGTGTTGATAAACATCCAACACCTAAACTAGAGAATATACGTTTCAATGTTAATAAATCAGTGTTATCCAATGAATTTAATTGAGGGAATAAAAAATTATTCGAAACTGTATGATTATGATTATTAGATAGAACTGATGTTGTAGTTGTAGTGTTTGTTGCTGTCAATTCAATACTCATTTGTTGTTCACAATTCATCCGATTTAATGATTGTAACAACAAAGGTGATGACGATGACGAGGATGTCGTTGTCATTACCATAGAATTCATTAATGGATCAATTGAAGGCGCTGACACTGGCAAAACAGTCGCTGTTGTACAAGATGTTGTCGCTGTTGCTGTCGTCATTGTCATCAACATCGTTGTTGTTGTAGGCGACTGTGGCAATAATGGCGGTGGTGTTGGTGATACTGATGATAACTGATCACTTTTTAATAACATTTCATTTTGTGAATCATCCATCGACAATGAATCATTTCTTGACTTGGTTGTTGACATCATACAACAATCCATTTCGGATAATTTCAATTCTCCATCACTATTATTATGATGATGATCATGGTGTCCATTATATACATCATTTTGTGTATCATCTAACGTTGATGATTGATTCTCCATAAATTTTTTATCTTCATCATTTAATGGGATATTAAAACGTAATTTCAACTCTATTAATTCATGGTGTAATTTATGATTTTGTATTTGTAATTGATTAATACGACATTCCATGAGAATATCATTTTGTCGACGTTTTTCACGTGATCGTTTAGCTGCTTCATTATTTTTACGCCGACGTTCCCAATATTTATCGTCTTTTTTAGAATCCGGTATAAATTCACGTTGTTTACGATCACGTTCTATAGAATTCAATAAACTATTATTTATTGATGATGAATCAAGATTGATTTGTTGTGATGTTACTGGTATCGGTGTTGTAGTTGTTGATGACGATGATGATGTCATTATCGATGATAACATTGCTGCATTAAATTTATTATTAGGATTACCACTTGAATAAATGGGATCGATTGTATTTGAATTAGTTAAATGAATTGATGTTGATTGGGTTGTTTGCTGTACAGGTGTAAATGGTGACTGCACAGACCCTGTATCTGAAGATACATCAGAGCATGTCTGTTGAGAGGGTAAAATAAATGAAAAATTATTAAATAAATGACTATTATTATTACTACTATTGGTTACAGTATTATTATTATTACTATTAATATTATCATACAATGAATTCATTGAATGAATTGTATTCATAGTTGATATATTCAGATTGATACCAGACGAACCAAGTGTATCTGTTATTTGACCATTAGAATTTTTACAACATACATTAGCAGGAGTATTGTTATTATTAGTATTAGTGGTATTTGTGATAAGATTATCAGTCAGTATGTCAACATTTTCATTATTATTTTGATAATTCGATGAAAGCCATAATGGTAACATCGGCTGTGTTTGTTGATGTTGGCTTAGAAAAGTTGTAATATCCGACGGTGATGTATCTAATATGGATGATGGTATTGTTGTCTCTATCCCTGACGTTGCTGTTGTTGTTGTCATAGTCATTGCCGTAGAATTTAATGATGTTGGTGGTAGTATTGACGGTAGAAATGGTAATCCTAAAATACCAGCTAAAGCTGAAGCTAACGCAAGTCCACCATTTGGATTAGACATGAGATCAATAGATTGATGATGATGGTGGTGGTGATCCACTAAATTAGGACTAAATGACGTTGATGGATAAGTTGAGTTGTTTTTTATTTGTTTTGAAGAATTGACCTCACTTATTTGTGTTGACGCTGTTATTATTGTCGTTGTGACCGGTATCGACGCTGTTGTAGTTGTTGACGTAGACTTCCTCAAAGTTTTAGACACTAATGATGTGTCTATAACGTGGTTATTACCAGTGTACAATGTAGCCATCCACTGTTCTATTATAAATACAATGCATAACTCAATTATTTATGATCACAAATAGAAATTGAACGTTGATAATCCCAAAGAATCAGATATAGACAGTAGTAATACTACTACTAGTGGTACGAATTTATGACTGACTTTGTCTATGCATACAATACACTGTAGATCCTTTATTTTTCTCATACACTATGGATATCTGTGCCCGTACGAAAATGTATGACTAACAAATAGGAGTTATGGAGATTGTATGCTATCAATTTGTGTATGTGTTATTCTCTACACCACAACAATTATTATCATGGGCCCTATAGTCTAGCTAGTTAGTAATAATGATAATTGTTGTTAGTATTAATGTTGTGACATCTCTCTCATTGCATGATACGTCTCTCTTATTTATTTATTTATTTATTCATTCATTCACTCACTCACCTAATAAATGGAGAGAAATATGCGTCTAGTCTTGGGGCAGTTAACTTCAACAACAACCCAGTGTATTCTTTAATAATAATTTTTTTTAGGGTACACATATTACTGTGTGTGCGATCCTCTCTTTGAAAAAAAACAATAATGTAAGGGGTGGAAAGGAAGAGTAGAATTTTGATTGGATACTTATATAGATTTTTAGGGGTTATGTGACTTATGACTAATATACTGACTGTTTTTCTTCATACATTATATTTTTAAAAAAAACTGCCATAGAGAGTAAGTAATATAAAATGAGAGATTATAAGTAATAAACGAAGGAGAGAGAAAATTATTGGGGTGCAAAAACGACGAGTCATACATTACTTATCTCTATTGACAAGTGTGAAAGACTATAGTACTATAGTACGAGACGTCATACATACATATGTATGATGGTTGTGTATACGTATTTACATGCACTTAATATATATATTTAATGTGTATGCATGTTTATCAAAGTGGGTTTTCTCTTCATAAAAAATTCATGCATATTTTTTTGTATCTTGTGTTGGTTTTTTAATTCATTTTAGAAAGAAAAGGTTAGCTTACTGTGTCCACTAAATCACGTGAATCACTAACTAACTCTATGATGTACACTATGACGATGAGTTAATAGTGTATGGAGAGAGTTTGTATAAATAGTAATAATAATAACAATAATAATAATATAAGTCAAACGCAACCATGACAGCTGGTGTCGAGAACCACATAGAAAAGATAAGAACGAGCGCGAGAGCGAGCGAGCGAGCAAACAAACAAATAAATATCACCACAATATACGGTAGTAATGTAACGATAACTATGATAGGCAAAGCGATAGACAAGACTTATTTAAGTCAAATTAACAATCTGTTATAATACTATGTTATACGATATGACAATGATGAAGCAGAATAATAACAATACTAATGAGAGTATTAGTAATGATAATAGATAGTAATGGCAATAATGAGTAAATAAAAGTTTCTTTCCTCTTTTTGAGGAAAGTAGAAGATTCGTCATTTCACATAAAACTACTCAATTGATTTGTTAGCTATTCACACAAATTGAGTGGGTAAGTGCGCAGGCCACTGAGAGACAAATGAGTAAATGGTAAGAAGACTGGACATAATGAGATGCGGGAGACATGGTAATCGTCTGTGTCCGAATGCCTAATGTAATGCGCGGAAAAGATACAGACAGAGATAACAAAAATTGTGATGAATGATAATATTACAATGTAGACGAGATTGAGATCGAATAAATAAGAGTAGTTTTGACATGTTCCAATATCAATATGTATCAGAATAATTATTTTGTTACCTCTTAATTTAATCATAACAAACGCAAGTGGAGTGATCAAGTGGGTTTGATAACTCTACCCATAACCTATTGATCACCGAGTGGTAGTGAGCAGTGTCATATTTGTTTAGTGCTTTAGTTCTGATCAAACTGCAATGTGAACCTTAGTCTAGGCAACTCAATATTGAAATAGATGGATCGAGATGCTTCCACTGGGTTGTTTTGATAGCTCCACCCACCTACTCTAATGTATTCTTATTTGTACAATGATGACTAATTAAAATATTTGAAGGAATATGGAAAAATTAACTAAAAGTTTACATTTATCAAGAAAACGGGCAAATTACGATCCGCGAGAAAAAGCATTCAGTCATCCAAACCTATACGGTTCATCAGGCCATTTAGAAACATTTACAAAATCGGCTGAATGTAAGAGAATTCGAATCTGTTTTAAGTAAATACAACAATTTATGTTAATATCTAAAGAAATGATGTTTGAAGTTAAACCCAATCTAAGTAACTTGATTAATTTGAGCATACTAAATTACCAACATTAACAACAAACACGGGTCTCAATGAAATCTATTGATAAGAATAGTTAAAAAATTTCAGTACTCAGGTAATATATCTTCACATTTCGAAGACTTCTGTGTTTAGATCATACAATGAAATTTATTGACTGCTGTTTCATCTCTTCAGATTGAGGCAAATAATCGTAACATTCAAATGGAACAGTTTCAAAAAAGCAACACTGATTAAATTATCATTGAGGGAGGATTAGTTTTACAATCTGGCAAAAAATTCTACAATCCAAATAATTCTCTTTTTTTGACTCAACTGATAGCTATGAACAAACGTTTTTATGCTATGAAATTCAATAAATCCAAATTCAGATCACAACTAATATATGCCAATATTGAGGTATTATTATGTATGTCAGGTAACGATTTTTAATTACAATAGACCGATGAAAAACGATGCTAAATCTGGTTTATTCCATTGATAAAGTGAATCAGACGACTGCTTAAATTTCATTCATGAATGATACATGTCAATATGTTAATTACAGACATTTTGTAATTTTCTATGAGAGGCCCACCTAATGTGATACTTGAACACGCCCAGCCGTTTATTAGAAATATTTCCCTTCCTTTGCTATACATAATCTATCACAGACCAAAATATTCCCTTACTTATCAAGAATTGAGTATATTGGTATGTTGCTCACTGATTGCCCAATGTTTCATGTTTGTAAGATACGATATAGATATAGACCAATGGTGTGGGGAAATTACATTTATTCGAATTAAGGCTTTCTACTGAAATATTAAGATTTTATAGAGTTATGGAAAATAACTCAGATCGGTTAAACTTTCAATGACTGGGAATGAGAATTACGTCCTGGGTTATACACATACTATGTTATTATTTACCTTGATGATAACTTTATTAAGAATAAATGGATATTAAAAAGAAGTGAAGATTTTCTTATTGAAATCATTAGTTCGAAAACCTAATTAAGTGATACAAGTCAAAATCAATAATCATACTGAAGAGATGTATTCACTATTATTTTATAAAGTACAGTAAACATAATACTATTCCTTTATGGAATAGATAGATTTATGGCTAACAAAGGAATCCAGGACGTGGGATTTGTACTATTCGTGGTTCGTCAACCGAATGCCCCTACACCGTAATGTTAACGTCCACACGCAGACTCGGACCAAGAACCTTTCGCACATATACCAACAATGACTGATCACAATCCAGTCAAGATTATTGATAACGGGATCTTCCAAATATTCTCTAATAATGATATCACTGATATATATGTTTCATTTACCAAGTATGAATTAATGTACTTAGTTTCGATCAGCACTCTAAGTATGTAAGACACTGGCAGGTCTTGAACCTGTAACTTAATGGCTAAATGCTAGACGCAGTAACCATCGAACCTGCGTTTTTAATAACAAGAATATTTATATAATTACGGGACCAAACTATAAACCTCAATGTATTCATAGATATTTCTCAAAGTCCTTGAAGTAGACTGATGTAGAACTCAAGTGAAACTGTACGAAAATCACACGATACTTTGATATGGATTGAGAATAAAACTAGCCGTTCTTTTTTGAACCATCTTATCTCATGTCAATGGTTCCGCATATGATTGAACCCATGACCTTCACGTCTACCAGTGAGCACATTAATTGTAAAACCACTGAGTTTAAATCAAATAGTTGACACATTTCAAAAGTCAATCAATTCACGATTTAGCGTGACGATCATTTAATGCCTAAGGTGATGACTGTCTTTCTATGAACCATGATTCTACAATTAGTTATTGACAGAGACTTTTTCTAAGGCTCACTGCAAATTGATTGACAATGACTGAAAAACCATTGAAAACTACAATTAGCTGATTTGTTGTCCCCTTCTTATTTAGATAACATAATGGAATGTTAAATCCCCTACATTATAGCATGATTTATATTTCTCATATCATTTGTAATATAAACTCGACTAATAAACATGTAACTAATTGGCCTTAAGGCAATTTATGTATTTATCTGAAAAGTTATCTGTTTGTGGTCGATGGGGTTTGTACAATACAAGCATACAAATATGTGCATTTCGATGCATCAATATATCATAGAAATTAATAAAATTAACAGACTCAAAGTATTAAATCAAGTAATTCCTATGATACAATTTGTTAATATAAGATTATTAAAGAGTATTATGAGTAGCATCGTCTAGTCTCTATGATAAATTAGTCATAATGAAAATGATTGGGAGTTGGTTACATATTTGATAAAACCAACAGCAGTTAAATATTTGTAATATGAGCTTTCGAATCATTAATTCTAAGTGATTATGAAAGTTAGCATACAATATATATACCAACGGCGAGTTTCTGAGTGATTCAATCCTGCAAATCTAACAAATAAACATTTCAAACACTTATGATGTATTAACCACCTTGATTTACAGTATATTATGGGACAATGGCTCAGTGGTTAAGATACTGGACTTTCAACTACTAAGTCACGGGTCTAAACTTCAATTCACCTACTTTGGTTTGGTCAACTGGGTTGCATCACTAACTCTCACAGATATAGTATGGATCAAAGCCAAATACACGAATCCGCATCTGATAAATTAGTCGATCATAGTGGTAATAATAATAATATATATGAGAACCTGTTTAGTTGAAAATGAGTTAAGTTCATATATAGATGTTAAATTTTGTA